TAGGTACTCTGAGTATTCAAGTTAGAGCTAACTTGAAAGTGTCGCAATAGTTGAGGCTGTGTGCTACACTGGGATTAGAGTTAATCCTTAGGTTTACAAAGAGTTTTGTAAATGCAGTTTTTGGCTCAGTGATTTTAGCGGAGTTTGGGAAAATCCTACTGAGTACTAGGTCGTGGTTTTTTCACCTTTTGAGCCAGGTGTTTTCCACGTAAAAATCTCTGTGCACTTTACTTTCAGTATTTATTATTCCGCAAACTGCTGTAGTTAGAACACTTAGAAGAACCAGGTTCTTCTAACGCGAAAATTAGGTACCACACAAATCACCCCCCCCCCCCTCTTGTGTGGTATTGACGTTTATAACATCAATGAGGATAATACCCATGGTCGGGTATCACGCAAATTCAATTTTATTTTATTCTTTGAATTTTACTAACCATTTTAGATGATAGGCAAAAAGCTTCCCGTACCAAATGATGATATTAGACCCAAAAGACACGCGAAATACTGAATTATTCCCGGTCTAGGTTACAATTTTTCTGATGGGAAAAGGGTTATGCAGTCATCATCTAAGAAATTATCTCCGAGTCCTGTTTGTATTCTCCTTTTCAGGGAAAGGACCAAAAGAAAGGAGTTGATCCAGTGTTCGAGATTTCATACTTGAACGCTCCAACACTGGGGGAACTATGCATATACAAGGTTACATAAGGAAGGAAAATGTATACCAAGGACATAGTTCATCCTGAAATCAAAACCTTGAAGAAATCCTTGAAAAGTTTTCAAAGGAGTTCGAACTCGCAAAAAGGATGCAAGATATTCCCACAAGCTTCTAGGTTAAGGCCATAAATTTAGTCGCAGGAAAATAGAACGAATTTGTAAACCTGCTACAATGGAAGTAGTTGTGAAAGTGTTGTATGAACAGTTATGATATTGATGTACAAAATATATTCATTTGAGAGTTCAAAAAATAAAACTTCCTCAAATTATTTCTCTTTTCATATCTACTTCATTTTCATATATTTGCACCAATATGAAGATGAGACGTCATCTCCATCACTGTCGTTAATATAAAAGGGCCCTCTTTTATAAAAACTCGTGTATATCAAAGTCATGGTCTATTAAAGCATTTTAAGTGCAATTGTAAGCTCAAATATTAAAAGGGCAGAAAGCATAATATGCGACAAAAGCAACAAAGATATTTATAACCCCAACAAAGAGGGGCGCTATTTATATCATACCCCCAAAAAAAGACAGGGGTGGAAAAACCTTCCAAAAGTTGTCCAAAAAACACAAGGGAGTTCCAAACAATAACCAACCAACAAACATTTTCAACAGATAAAGTCTAGAAATAGGAAAAGCTAAGGAGCATCATCGACGGGAGAAGAAGGATCGGCTTGGGGAGAAGAGGGTTGAACATCAGCTTCACCAGGAGCAAGTCTATCTCTATCACCCGAACCTTCGTCTTTGGGTGTGGAAAAGCTTTGACGTTGCCGAGTCTGTTCAATTGTTTCTCTGGCCTTAGCAATCTCAACGTTAAGGTCAAAACCTTCCTGGCTGGCTTCAGTTAAAGTCTCAAGGCGAGTGTCCAAAACCAACTAAAGTCCAGTGATGACTTATCCTCGAGGGCTTCATAATCCTTCTCCCACTGTTCAATGTTAGTTTTCAACTCTTCTTTTTCTACTCCGAGGCTTCATAAGTTGTCTTCAAAGGAGCAAGAGAACTTTCCAGGAACTGAATTTTACCTGTAGAGGCACGGAGATATTTTTGAGCTTCGGTAAGTGATATGTACGGATTTTGACTGCTTATTAGCACCTTTTTGCTTTTGTCTTAGTCCGAAAGTATCAAATTGTTTTCCCAAAACTAATGAAATCATGCAAATTGCAGGAATGCTGGAAGTTTGGTCTCATGATGAATTCCGACTCTGAAAAGATCCTTCCGAAGCACAAGGCAATAAAGGGCGCATAAGCATAGATGTGCGGTCCGAAGAAGAAATTGCAGATCGCTGAATTCCATCTGCGAGCGCAAACCAAGAAGCAAACCCCAACAGAATTTTCAATAATGTGCGGACCGCACATGAATTGTGCGGCCGTAGAACTAGGCTTTCACTAACATATTCAAAGGTCAGAGAATATGCAAAACGATTAAGTCCTGAAGCCCTTGTGAAGTGCGGACAACATAAAAATTGTGCGGTCGTAGAAGATTGCCTCGCAGCTGCAGAACTTACATTCCTGACAACTAAAGAACTCTGCGGACCACACATGGAATTGTGCGGCCGTAAACCTCCTACGGGGCATTTTTGTCCATGATTTTTGGCCCTGTATAAATAGACGAGTTTCACAAAATTAGGTTATGTTTGAACATCTAAAGATGTTGCAGCCGTTTCTTTTTAATAGTTTAGGAAGTTTTAGCTTATTTGAGTATTTTAACATTAGATTTCATCATTTTAATATTCCTTTATGAGTTTAATTAGTTTTTCTTCTCTATTTTCTGTAAATTCCATTATGAGTAGCTAGACTTTTACTAGGGTTATGACCCAAACCTAGTGTGTAAACCTTATAAGTGTTTAAATTAGTATTTGTTTATGATTGAGTGTTGATTATTTAGCTTACTTTATGCTTCAAGTTTAGAATTAATGGTTGCAAATATTGATTCATGCCTATTTGACTTAGTCTCTACTTGAGAAAGATGGAACTAGTCTAGGATAACTTAGCTAACAAGGAATTGGATTAACTGAGAGATTGATTACCTAATTAAAGGGTTCAAAATAGAGATAGTAAGGACCCAACTTGAGCTCATATCAACTGGTCTAATTGATACTCATTTGGACTTGAGAAAGCCAAATTGGACAAAATCAATCTCTGAACGAGAGGTATTGGGTGGGTACTATGGAGTTGAGAGCTATAGTACACACTAGTCAACAAAACAAGCATTAAAGTCTTTATCCCATTACAAACACCTAGGTTACGATCACATCCCTAGGCCTTCAAACTATTTGGAGAAACCTCAAAAATATTTATCTCTAGTCTATTTCCTTTAGCCTGCATTATTAGAGTAACTGTAGAAATAGAAAACAAAACTCTATTATGGAAGTGCAATCTTAGATAGTCCATTTGCTTGCTTCAAATGTATACCCCTAACACCCCTCATAACTCCCACTGGATTCGACTCCGACTCCTAGTTGGGTAATTATTATTGCATACGACCGTATCATATCTCTTAGTGAGGTGTGTTGTGGACATCATCAGTAAGCGTCTGAACCAGTTCACCCACGTAAACCTCTTTTTGATTAAGGAGCTCTTTCGAACTCCTTATCTCTTTAGTAGCCTAGGAAAGTACTTTAGCAAAAGAGGATTCCAGTCTATCCTTATCCTTCTCAACTTTACTCGAAGAAGCTTTAAGAACCACTAACTCAACGGTAACCATTCTCATTTGCTGTTCCGAAGCTCCATTTTCCTCTGCAAAAACATCCTTCTCCAACTGGAAACCTTCAAATTGTTCTCTCCAGTTATCAACCTCGATGCACAATTCAATTAGTTGCTGGTCAATCCATGAGATTTGAAGTGTGCTACAGGCTGAGTGTGACTTAGAGCAATTGTGGACAAAGGTCGGGCTAAGTGTTGAAAGAACTGCGGACCGTAGTTGATTTGTACGAACCGCAAAACTTTGAGTGCTATAGCAAAAGCACACTTTGGCTGCACAATTAGTTTGCGGACCGCACAAAGGAGAGGTCGAAAATACCAAATCTATGAAGTTTAGCTTGTCAGAAAAGAGGTCAATGTGCGACCGCACAGGAAATATGCGACCGCACATAAAATTTGTGACCGCACACAAAATTGTGCGGACCGCAGATGGAAAGCCGAGCAGAGACCCTCAGGTAACAGAGTGCGGACTGCACATGAAAATGTGCAACCGCACTCGACCTTCTTCCCCTTAGTAGACCATAAGGATAAATAGAGGAGCAGGGGCAAGGGTTACGTTTTTTTCACTCTATAAGCACAAAAATAGTATTCTATTGAAAATTCTTGGTGATTCTATCTGTCCACACACACAATATCTCCGTTCATTAACTCATTACACTCATTCATCTGGTATGCTTTAATTTCTCATTAATTTTCTTTATTTTAGTTTAAATTGTAGATTTTTAGTTCTTTTTAGGCCATTCGTCATTAGAATTCAATTGTGTATCCATGAGGGGGTAAATGTGTAACGGGTTAGCTAATACATGCTCTATGGGGACCGAGTTAGCATATTTACATGTTTCTATGATGTTGCCATATCGAATTGTGCACAAAATTGCAAAACCTGGATAGAAATAATTGACCGTTACGTAATGTTTGATTTCTGCGGCCGCACTTGAATTTGTGCAGTCCGCAGGTACTGATTTTAGGTAGCATAATGAAAGAAGGGATCTGCGGCGGCAAGTGGAAATGTGCGGATCGCAGAATACCCATTGCGGCCGCAAAACACTACTTTTCCTGTCATTTGAGAGTCCCCTCTTGAGACTCCAATATGCGGCGCAAAGTGAATTGTACGGACCGCAAAAATCCTGTTACGGCCGCACATCAGCCAATTCTCTGTCATCAGAGAGTTGGAATTTCTAGGTTTAAAGGTGCGGCCGCAAGTGAAAATGTGCGAACCGCACTTCACTTCTGCGGCAGCACAACAAAATTTTGCAGTCCGCGATTCCCCATCTGTGGCCGCAAGAAAATTGTTCGGACCACAGATCTTGTTCCTTCATGCATGCTTTGGCTGTGGACCCTCACACTACAACAAATTTGGCCTAAAGTCACACTAATTTTAGACAACACTTTAGAAATATTGTCAGAAGTGTTTGTGAAAACGTATTTTGAGGGGTGGTCTTTGCTGGGTGCTTTCGGCTACAGAATTTAAGCTATGCTTTTAAAGCGTTGTCTTTCAATATAAAGGCTACGCTATATAAGTGTTGCCAAAACATGAAATAATTGATAATGCTTTTTGACCTATAATACAACGGTTTTGGAGGGTGCTTTTTTTTTTTTCATCCTAAAAGCGCTCTAAAAATTTCTATCAAAAGTTTTCCTGCCCACCAATTCTGAAAAGGCAAAAGAGATACCCGCTGAAATATTTTACCCAATTCCAAATTTGCCACCACTAAAATATTTCGCCCAATTCTAGATTTCCCACCGCTGAAATATTTTGCCCCTTCCAAAATTACCTCCGCTGCTTATTCGTTGTTTCACCGCCATCGTGACCCAAATTCCTTTAATAGATTCTATTTTGTCCTTATTTCAAATAATGCCCTCGACTAGAGAACTTGCTCGGCTCCATCTTTTTCTCCGGCGACTCATTCGGCGAAATCGATTTGTAACTTGTAGGTTTGTTTCCTCGTCACTCGTTGTCTCTATTAAGAGCATAAAATTGTACTACTCTGGTACTTTCTAATCACTGATTTTGTTCTTTGGTTTGCTGCTTGTGTCTAGAATGCAATATTGGTTAACTTGTTCAGTGCTAGTCGTTGCGATTTCCTCTTCCGTCACGGTTGGTTGCCAGTAAGGTGTTGGTTGTTCTCATAATTACATTCTTTTTCTTATTTTTTAAGATATCGGTTAGTCATAGCTAGTCTTATGTATGCTAATTTTGGTTTCTATTGTTGTGGCTTTGCTGATTCGGACAATGTTATTACCCTTCAGCCAAACACTTTGAGATTTGTTCATGTTGGTGTATCATTTAACATTTTGTCTGCAATAAGTCTCAAATTTGATTATAGTATTGCAAAGGTGATGAAGAAGGCAGTAGTTGCTCAGCGACCCCAAGAGGCGCAAGGTACTTCAACTGCTTTCTGTTTTGTGGATGCTTTTAAATTCTGATAAAATAAAACTCTGCCTGTATAAGTATGTGCTTTCAATTTTCAAATTCCTATATTACTTGCATTCACAAAGTCTCTGAGCTACATTTCTTTTATTCACATCTTGCATTTGTATATTTGTACGAATAGAACGAAGGAACAAGATATTGATCTATTAGTCGATCATATTTTCTTTGAAGAAGTGCATAATATTGGTGTAACAATTACATTAGACGCTTTGTTTTAGGTAGTATGACAATATCATTGGGCTAAAGTTAATTGGGTGCACTAATTGCAATTAATGTCTCTCTGTATCCTAATATTTTCTACTGTTCTTTCCTCATTTGGTGTTTGTTCTTGAGCAACAGGTTTATTGTCAAGAAAGCCATTTTATATTGCTACCTACTAATCTTGTAATGAGAAAAGTATTTTCTTTCAAAGACAATATATGTGAGCACATACTAGTTTTGTTTAGATTGGAGCTATCTCCTATTTTATTTTGCTTGACATGGAATCAGACTTCAATTCCACGGCAGTCCTTGCTGTCTTGAGTTTTATTAGCAACTTCCTTTCGTGAAAAAAATATATAATTTAACTTTTTTGGTATTCATTGCACCTCTGTAATGACGGCAAACTTGTTTCAGTGTGATATGAATAAGGTTAGACTTGCTTGTACCTTCTTATCTCTCTTAATTTTCCATATCCAAGGCTTTGACTTAAAATGAAGAAGCAAGATTGAGATGCTTTCTTTACCTTTGCAAGATAATCACATTTATTTATTTTTCATTTCTTGCTATGCATGCTTAGTTTCTTGTCAAGTCTATTAGTGATAACACTTTTCTTATTCCTTGAAGTATTGGTATTTGCTGGTTTTTATGACTCGTCAAAATGAAACAAATTTCAGTTATAATGCATAATAGAATAAGCCTTGGTGAGCTATCAATGAGTTTCTTTTATTCCTATTTGTTCCTTATCATGCACCTCAAGTTTAGTCCAACTATTGTCCTTCAAATTGTAAAAAATCAAACAGTGATTATTTAAATCTGGTGTCAAAATGGTGTCTTCATCTTATGATATTCCAATCATAGGTGGAGTTAATAAAAAACTAAACTCATTACATGAGAACCAAGTTAGTCAAAAATGCTGCTTTCGGTGCATGACTCAGCAACTCTATAGTCTTCCATTCTCCATATGTCAATATGATATACTCAGATTCTCAACTATTCAAAGAGATTTCCGCATAAGGCACCGATCATCTTTCTTTATAGCATGAAATCTTCTTCTCAGGTTGATGTGACTCGTGCACGGGTTGTGATAAGCCAAAATTTTTCACATTCCTCTGGATCAATGTATGGTCTGATTCTTGAAAAGGTAATATATGGTTTTTTATACCTACTAAATCAGGACGCAAATATAGCTTTGATCTTCTCCTTTTTCCATCTTGGCGACTTGAGCATGATATTAAATCAAGAAAAATATTTGTTATATCTTCTACACTTCTTATAAATGAAAAATATTTGTTGTACCTTTAGTACTCAAATATTTGTGAATTTTCTTTTTTACTTATATACTTCTGATAAATGAATAAGCATTTGTCCGTTTACTGAATGTGTGCCTGTTAAAGTTTCAGCTTTTTATTTAAAATCATATACTTCGAATAAATGCAGTTTTATATATGTGTCTGGTGCTTATATCTTGTACTAATTGAATGACAAATTAGTGAAATTGTAGTTTCTTTAGGAGATAACTCCATCTTGTATTACTTTTTCGTGTTAGCATACATGGAAAAAAATAATCTAGTTAGTGGGTATATGTTCTTTAGACACTTCAAACGAAAGCTCAAAAAAGATACTATTATTAAGAGCTCCTGGATAATTACTAATAAGACAAATTGAAGTTTCTCAAAAGAATTCATAGTTGGGAAAGAAACTTGATTTACCCTGACCAAGAAATAATTTGACAAATTGAAACTAAATCACATTTCTCTTAACCAGGTAATATATCTTAACTAGACTATTCTGAAAGGAAGTGTGGTTTCTTTTCTTTTAGCCAATTCAAGTATCAGTTGCATCTTCTCTGTGTCTTTTCTCTTATTTTCTCTATATTAACCAGTTTCTTTTGTATTGATTGTTGGACGAAAATGATCCGTACTTTGAATTCCTACCCTCTCTGATTCTTAATTATCTTAGCTTATGAAAGTTGATACTTTTTATTACAAGCAGTTATACGTAGCATAATGTACTTCATATTTTTAAGAGAATTAGTTGATTATCATTTTAGTCTATTAATACATTCTGGATGTGGATATATTCGTTGATGGTAGATAGTAGCTTTGTATGATTTATTCCAAGATTTATACAATCTTACCACACTCAAGGATGCTTCAATTGCTGAATGCAAAAAAAGTAATAACGAGCATTTGACCTTCACGAGGAACCTGCAGGATTGAGAGGTAGAAATAGTTACTCTTTTCTTAGTAGATTGAAGGCTACTCAAACTTACTAAATTTTATTACTACTCTATCTTATTAGTGAATTGTTGAAAATTTAGACCCCACAAATAAAAGATAAAGAAGATAATATATGGAATAGAAAGAAAAAGAATTAGCAGGTATGCCAATGCATTTAGAAGCCATTCTAATAGTGAAATAGCAGGTATATGCCAATGCATTTAGAAGCCATTTTAATAGTAACATAGCAGGTTTATTCTTATTGTGTTCTTAATATAATAGTAAAAATTGGTTGTTAAACTAGTCAGTATGATCTACAATCTATCAAAGCACTTGAATATTTTCATCCGGGTCTGCACCTTATCTCATACATGGCAACAGTAGTCAGTTAGTTCATCTTTATTTGTTTCAATTGCAGGTATGGGGAGGCAAAACTACTAAATAGAACAAAGAGATTACAATTAGGGAACTTAAGGCCCAGAAGCATTCAGAAGTTTTTGCTGGTTTGAACAAGGAAAGCTCACCTGCTGCTTAGATTATTGGGGTGGTCAAGCTTATGAAAATGGATCAGTTACAAAATTAGGAGATTGATGTGTAGGGGGCTAAGGTCTAAGGGGATCGCAAATGGGATTTCTAATGTATACTGGCTTCAGTAGTATAACATGTTTAAGGTGTTATTCATGATAGAATATATCTGATTTTGTAAAGCTCATCTCTAGTGGCGACCTTTGAAGTTTTTGCTTTATTAGTTAATGTAGTAAGTACATGATATATATTTCTTTTCCGAAGTTCATTGCAAGTGTATTTGAATCTTTTCTTTTTGTTTATTAGTTAATGTAGTGTTTGAGATCTTCATACTTTAGCAATGATCTCAAAAGATATGATAATTTTGATGATAAATGTGATTACTAGATATATATATATATATATATATATATATATATATATATATATATATATATATATATATATATATATATATATAAAACAAAGGCAACGCTTTAAAAGCGTGACCTCAAGGTAGGAAATGCAACCTTTCAAACATGTAGCATTAGGACATGAAAACACACATGAGGTATTACAAGTATAGCTTTTGTTCCTTATAGGCCACACTTTTGAAGTGTGGCTTTTAAAGCAACGCTTAAAAAGCGTGCTCTTAGGGAAAAGGCTACGCTAGTTTAGGACACCCCTAGAAAAGCGTTGCTTAAAGCCGAAAAGTGTGGCCTTTGACAAAATACCACACTTTTTGATAGTTTAGGCCACAATTTTTAGGGGTGGCTAAAGACCTAAAATGTTGTAGTGTCACTATATCTTCTGGTTTATATCTTACCTGCATATCTCCTGTGTATGTTTGAACATCAAATTGAAACTAGAAATCGCCTTTCCTTTCTATAGACAATGGATCGATCTAGGGGAAGAGGCGACACTTCTAAAGGGAGGGGTGAACCTTCTTGGGGATGAGGCAAGAGGGCCTTACCTCTTGGACAACAATGGGAAATTAGAAAGAAGACAGCAGTCGAGTGAGGGAGAGGTGCAGACCTCTCCATGACAAGCTTATATGTCCTGTTTAGGGAAGCATCAGAGGGCAACTCAGCCTCTGTTAAGAAGCAGTCGGCCGTAAGTCAAGGCCGCCAGGGAGATTGTAAATCAGGGATGAGTCGTCCTCATCTCACAACACTTCCGAGGGATCGTAAAGTGCTAGTCAGGCTTCTGAACCTTCGGCCGCACCAGTCTTTATGACACAGGATTCACCCGTTCAGGACATCCCCGATGATGGCAGAGAGGGAGATGCTACAGTTGTCGGGCTTGAAGAACAAATAAGAAAGAGGTTTAGGAGGACCGAATCGTCAGCTCGGCAGCTTTCACTAGCTTCCGTACATGGTGTCCAGCGAGGTCGCTAACCCTTAAGCGGCAGTTCTTATCGAAAGATTTGGAGAGGTACAACCCATCCGTGTTGAGACAGTTCAGGGAACGCAAAGGGTGGATGTTGTTTACTCAGAGCGTAGTGGATGCCAAAGAGTACCTTGTCCGAGAATTTTATGCCAATGTGGCACATATTAAAAAAGGGACAAAGGTGACAAAAATGCATAACCTCAGAGTGAGATTTGATCAGCACATCACTCAACACATACTTGGGCTTTAATGATGTTGAGCCAACAGAATACTTGGAGAAGTATGCACTAGAAGATGCAGTCCGGCCTTGGTTAGCGGAGATTCTAGCAGCACCAGGATCACCACCACCATGGATTGCCGTTAGGGTTCCTATCCATCGGAGCACACTAAGTTTCGAGGCAAAAGAGTGGAAATCCTTTGTCTGCAGTAGACTAGACCTGAGTCAAAATGAGACTCACCGTCCGATTCCTCGGGCAGCCTTGGTTGCTTCTATTATGGTCGGGTACCCGATCAATGTAGGTGTCATGATGTCGACCAACATCTTAGTGATCGCTCGGCAAGATGACTCGTCTTACCCGTATCCCAACACCATTCACGGATGCTAGGGTAGAGCCAAGGAATTTTGACATAAAGGTGAAACCGAAGAACCCTTTCTCTTGGTACTCACTGATGGATACGAACAACCCGAAAAGGAAAGTTCAGCCTTCTACCACCACAGGCCACTCTGATGAGCCAGCCGTGGTAGCTGTTGAGACACTTGATGTTCCATCCACTTCGGTCGAGCCGCCCTCCAGTGTCGTAGATATGCCTCCACCATCATCTACAGTCCCTACTGCAGTTCCTGCCATAGCTTCCACCTTGGCTTTGAAGCTGGTTCCCATGCCTACTGCCCCACTCTCTGCGCTGCGAGTCTCCCAGATATTGGCGAGTCTCAACAACTGGATGCAGACAACCACTACAAATCTGTCTGACCTATACAGTACTGTTGCAGTGCAGTCTTCTGTTCAAGCACCTCAGTGTCCCCTAACCGTTGAAGAGACATTGAAGAAGCTCCTAGAGAACTAGAACACTATTATGGCCACCTTGGTACAACACGGGTCATTAATCAAAGAGCTAAAAAAGGAAGTAAAGTAGATGAGGAAATCCTAGGCTAGCAAAAAGTCAATGGACAAGCTCCGAAGAAAGGTGAACAGAATTGCTACAGCCGGAGATCTTCCATTCGACATGTTACTTGACATGCACCAGTCAGCACCAGATCTTACAGCCCCATCTGAACCGGTAGCACCGGTTGGCCAGTCTGACGAGCCAGCCCTTGTTGCTGACACTGCTGAGGTAGTGCGTCAGATGTTCGCCAACCCAGCCACACCTAGAGTTGAGGATGATGAGATCCAGTTGGCTGAGCCGGAGGGAGATGACATTGCTGGGGACACAAAGATGTCCAAGGAGCCATATGGAGTTTTCTTCACTCTTTCCCCTCTTTTACTCTTATTTTCCTAAGCATTGGGGACAATGCTTATTTTTATTCGGGGGAGGGGGGAGGGAGGGGTGGAGTTTATTTGTTACTTTTGGTACATTATGAGACATTTGTCCTGTAATAACTTGATATTATTCTCTCTTTTCTTAGTATGTATCTATACTCTCTCTCTCTCTCTCTCTCTCTCTCTCTCTCTCTCTCTCTCTCTTTCATTATGTATATTCATTCTCTCTTCAGTAGTTTTTGCTTATTAGCTTCTTTATTTTTGTTTCTTTATTAGTTCTTGTTTGATTTAGTAGCTTCTTTGTATGTTTTAGTAGCTTCTTTTATGTTTTAGTAGATAATAAGCCTTTGTTTTTCTTAATGTCACGGTTCTTTTCAAAGGTAGTTGTTGTGTGAACCGAGTGACTCGTCCCAACGATGGATGGCGTGACTTCTTAAGGGAATGAGTCCGTTTTTGTGTTTAGGTACGAATAGTAGTAGTAATGAATAAAAAGACCTAATTAAGTCATGCTCGAAGAGTCAAACATGCTTCATTTGACACCAACATACTTAACTATGTGCTTATGGTTAGAGACAAGGTTTTTAAAAGAAATAGCTCTAGTTAGTGACTTTGTGACTCTTGTGTTGACTTTTGTAATCATTGAGTGGTTTAATTGGACCATAGTGATCTTTATACTTGAATGTGGTCATTGTGGGCCCTCGAATCTATCCTCTTTTACAATCTAGTTGCGTGAGGGGTGGGATGAACTGTTGCTACTCCAAGTGTCTGTGCGAAGGGTCTAGAACTTGCCCGAATGTGTTTTAAGGCGAAATCCTAAGTTTTGCTCGGTTTGAGAAGTGATTGTAGGCTTTCCTTGGCCCGTTTGACTTTTCTATTGACAACTAATGTCATTATCCCTAGTCAACCCCTTCGAGCCTCTAGTTTTTCTCATTTGATAACCATGTTACAAGCCTTTACCCATTTTATCGTGACCCTTTCTTGGCTCCCGAGCCTTCCTTAACACTTTTGTGAAACAAATGGCTTAAAACGTATGCTTGGGGGGTAGAGATGAGGAAGTTGGAAAAGGTATAAAGTTACAAAAGGAGAAAATAAATTATCTCTATTGGAAGAGAAGGCAAGAAAAGAAAATAACAAAAAGAAAAATTCAAAAAAGTGAATAAGTGAAAGAGTTGAATGGATTCAAAAAGAGGTAATGATCCCAAGCATTGAGAAATCAAAAAGGGGAGATAAAGAATGAAATGATCAAGAAAGAGTGATGTTAAGTCTCTCTAGTTCCCAAAGAAGTCCTATTTGATTTCACGCCGAGTGATCTTACATTAGTAGTGATCTACATGATTTGAGTAAACGACCTCGAAATTAAAATTTAAAGGTTCCAATAGGTTTTTATGATGATTTGGGACTGGGACGTATGTTCGGGTTGAGTATCGGGTAGTCTGGAAGCATTTCGACACATATTTTGAAAAGTTGGCATTTTAAAAATTTTAGAATTTCACATGTATGGTTTGAAGTGGATTTTGATTTTATCGATGTGCGTTTGGGATTATGAGACTTGGAATAGGTTCGTATTGTGATTTATGACTTGTGCGTAAAGTTTGGTGGCATTACAGAAGGTTTAAGTATGATTCAAATGCGTTTGTCAAAGTTTGGAAGTTTGAAAGTTGAGAGAAGAAATTTGATCATCTATTCATAATTTTGATATTATTCGTGGTGTTTGGAGCCTTTGGATAAGTTTGGATAAGGTATTGGGACTTTTTGGTATGATTGGACGGGGTCCCGGGGGCCTCGGGTGAGTTTCGGGATGGTTTCAGATAATTTCTCCATATTTTGCTACTGCTGTTGCTGGCTCTGGTTTTGTCCTTCACAAACGCGTAAGGGAGATCGCATTCGCGAAGAAAGATTTGAGCTGGAGGATGGTTTGCTCTTTGCGTTCGTAATGAAGGCCTAGCGTTCGCGAAGGTTTGGGCTTGAGGTAAATCACGTTCGCAACAAGGGCATCGCATTCGCGGAAGAGGAGCTGGACCTGGAGTCATTGCCTACGCGTTTGTAGAGGCGGGTCGCGTTCGCGATGGTCAGGCCTGGAAGGGCATCATGTTCACGGGCCTGCTATCGCGTTCGCGAAGAGGGTTTTGGACTGGAGTGGAGTTTGTGCTTCGCGAACCCGAGGCATGCTGCGTTCGCGAAGAAGGTCGTCTCGGTAGTGTATAAGATTGCAAAAAACAGGAATTGCTCATTTCAACTCATTTTTCTCGCTTGGAGCCGACTTTGGGGCGATTTTGGAGAGATATTTCATCAACCTCTTGGGGGTAAGTGTTCCTAAATCACTTTGATTATATTTCATGAACACATATGGAATTTTAACATGAAAATTAGTGGAAATTTTTGGATTTTGAAGAAAAATCTAGAACTGGTATTTTTGGATTTTGACCACGAAATTGGACATG